GAAAAAAGTCACAGGAAAAGATAATTTAACTGTCACGGGAAAAGTGTGGCCTGTTGAAAAGGGTCAAAAATGTACATATTAGAACAAGGACTTAGACTACAAAAACAACAAAAGAGTTTTTTTTTTTGCATGTAGCACAATTCTCTACGTACAAGTCACTCAATATGGTAAGCGTATAGGCTTTCAATATTTTGACTTGGCTACATTTTTATCAATAAATGACCTTAAAAAACATTCTCATTATGCATTAAGCTAAAGGTGAGAATGTAATTTATTTACCAGTTTCAGTAAAATAAATTGTGTATAAAACAGGGTACGCTTTCACAATATCCAAGTATAAATGCTATACTAAGAAGCTAATTCAGAGAATCTGTGTCCCCTGCTTAAGGAAAAAAGAAGAGCATGTACGGATCTAGAGAGGTGGTGGTCGGAGGGTGTTGGGGGTAGGGGGGGGGGCGGGACACTTTAAGAGGAGCGGGCGGGACCATAGGGAGTTCCCAGATAGCAGGATGTTATTGGACCTTTGTTGGGCCAACAATGCTCCTTATGTTGGGCCACCGTATGCATTCAACATTGGGCCATCGGTAATTTGCTCATCGGCCCTTAATCAAACCAACTTGTTGGCTTATTGTTGGGCCAATGTAACAGTTAATATTGGGCCACTGTTGGGCCAATGTATTCTTTCAATATTGGGCAAACGGCATTTTTGTACAGTTGGGCCATTGTAAGCAATTGATGTTGGGCCAACGGTAATTTGCTCATCGGCCCTTAATCAGACCAACTTGTTGGCTTATTGTTGGACCAACGAACGGATATTATTGAGCCATTGTTGGGCCACTTATTCTTTCAATATTAGGCAAATATCATTTCTGGGCCAACGTTGGTTTGTATCTTATTGGCTCTCCATCAGGACAACTCATTTGCTCTTCACTGGTTGGCCATATGTCCTCAAAATTGAATAACAAACTATATATAATAAGGTTATACTAGTTTTGTAGTACAGTTTAATGGTAAAAGCCCTTTAATACTATATATGCTAGATTAATAGTTTAATACATATTCACAATATCTCATAGAATTACCATCAACAAGTATTGCATTGTAAGTAGCTCTACATTAATTAAAAAAAAACTGAGGAAAAAGAAATCAAAATATAAAATTAAATTATAACATACTAGTATTTTATTGCTCAGTGCATGAAGAAAACATTAATGAACAAAAAGTTGATGCTCACTTGAAGCGATACACGTAGGGTTACATGACTGTATACTCCCTCTCTGATGTAAATTTATGCACAAGTTCAGTAAATTGCAGGTATCAATAAGCACGTCTTAAAAATAAACAAAGCCCTCCTGTTCTTAAAATAATACTAAATTGAATCCCGCCATTTTGTTTACTTACACAAAAAAATGTTTCTGGCATCTGCATCGTGTTTGTTACCGACAAACAGACACAGAAAAGGGTAGAACTACTGGTATGTCACTTTCCATCTGATCCCTCTCCTAAGTCTCCTCTTCTCTCTCCCGAGTCTCCTCCTCCCCCTTCTTTTCTTCTCTGTCCGTTTCTTCCTCCCCCATCCCTGTCCTTGGCATACCTTAGCCATTCTTTGATTGTGTTCTCAGTGTCTTTTTAGAATCTCCAGTAGCACTAAAATTGTAGTATTTGGTACTTACGATTAAATTTACAAGTATATCACTATATGTTTAAGCTGTCAATTAAGGAAGAACCGTCTTTTTTGTTTCATGGTGTGATTAAGCGATTAGCTTGCGTGATGAAGGCATTTATGCATAAAATTTCTACGCTTGATCATCATCATCACACCGATTTTGATTCAATGTTGCCCCATGTAAATCATTATTCAAAGTAAAATACATGTATAGAAAATTTGTCGGTACACTGAACAAATTTTAAATGAAAGAACCCAATTTATGTTTTAGTACTGAATAAATTTTGTTTTAACTTCAACATGTTCAACATTTTCAACATGTTTGATCATGTGTTCGACGTTAAGTGTATATAAGTAAAATGAGTGGTAGATTTCGGAAATTTATTCTACTAGACACAAATTTAAATCTAAATAAGGGGCAAATTATTTATTGTTTTAACTGTATCAAAACACATTTGTTATTTTATACTTTCATTTATTTTTCTTGTATAGAAACAATAAATTTAATTACTGATAATTTATTTTGTTTTGATAAATTATAAGAATTTTAACAAGCCTTGTAAATTTATTTTAGCTAACTTGTATTTTCAAGTAGGATTGGTGGTAGGTTTATTTCTGATTGTAGAGACGATCGGATTTGTTAATATACAGATTTGTAACAATTAAATGTTTATACACATTGGCCCAATGTTGGGCCAATATATCGGGCCAACATTGGGCCAATGAGCAAAATGACACTGGGCCAACGTCATTTGCCAACATCGGTCCAATATTCTTGTTCACGTTGGGCCAACATTGGCCCAATGTCGCATTCATTGGACCAAATAGAAAATAGAGAAATAACACTCTACATTGAGCCAACTTTGGCCCAACATATCGGGCCAACATTTGGCCGATGAGCAAACTTACATTGGGCCAATGTCATTTGCCAACATTGGCCCAATGTAACCGATGACATTGGCCCAACGTTGGCCCAATGTTAGCATGCTATCTGGGACAGTGTTGACCCAACAGCACCTGGCCTCTGCACTTCCCCGTGTCTGATTTACACAGATTTGTACACGATATCGTTTAAACTATAAACGTTAATTAAGCTGTGTCGAAGCTAACATATTATAAATACTTACAAAGTGGATGCAGATATGCAAGGTATCAGTCTCATTACGTTCGTGCCAGATTAAAAATGGCGCGGATATTACAAGTAGCCCGGATGTCTACCCATGATGCTCAGCCAGATTCATGGTATATTGGGCCAACTTGGGGCCGATGCCAATCCCCCAACAAATGTTTTCTCTCATGATAATAGTTTTATGATATAACGCCAACAGTTAGCCCAACATTGGCCCCATTATACGTACCAACTATCAATATTCCATGTTGGACCACCGTTGGCCCAATAAAGATAACCCAACAGCGATAATACAACCATAATGTAAGATTGGGCCAACGATGTTCTGCTATCTGGGTTATGATATAAAATTTCATTGCAAAAGCTTAAAAGCTTTTTGAGATATCGCTCGGAAATGAAAGTTTTACACACAAACAGAATGTACAAATTTTTGACATTAACATTTGACATTTTGATCTCGAAATCAATAGGGGTCTTCTTTAGTTCATAGAGAATTGTGGTTTAAAATTTCAATGCAAAAGATCGAAGACTTCTCGAGATATCGCACAGAAATAACGTGTTTAAACAGACAGAATTTATGAATTCATGACCTTGACCTTTGACCTTAAAATCAATGGGAGTCTTCCCTAGGCCACAGGGTTTTTTTAATGCAAAATTTCATTGCAATGGCTCAGAGGCTTCTCGAGACATCGGGTTGAAACGAAAGTGTTACAGAAAGACGGACGGATGGACGGTCAGACAGACCCAAATCAATATCTCCCACTTTCAGTGAAAGCGGGGGACAAAAAGCAAATTTTATATACCATTGTGGCCTTGAACTTTGACCCTTTGTCCGTATTTACCAATTCATGTGATGCTACATGTAGTTATTGTCCACCAGATCTGTAATTTTGTTTATTCATGCTGTTTAAAACAAAAGTATTAGTTAGGAAACAGAAAAAAATGTGCTTCGTTTCCTTAAATTTCCATCTAAATCGAGCCATTTTGACCTTGACCTTTGACCTTTTGTCATGAAAATTGATTTTTCTTTTTCTTTTTGCTTTTGTGTACCACATAACTAAATTTGGTTTTAATCCATTTTAAAATACTCAGGTATTTATATGGAAACTGATTGTAGATACCTATTGCCCTTGTCTGGAATTCTTTAAAAAAGCATAAGTTTGTAACCATGGTACATTTAACATGAAAACAAAATATGAATACTAAGTGTTTCTTTGCACTTTATATAAGATCTATATATGAACTTTCAAACCAATGTATTTATTTTTTCCCAAATCTTCGCAAAATTTTATACCAGACTTTTCAAAAGAACCTAAAATCTACAATTTTTCCCCAGAAAAATCCTTCCTAAAACGGGCGATATTTTTTCTATTAGGTAAAGTTACTCAAATACTAGAAATTATCTAAGCAACTATAAAAATGGTGTATTTTGGCAAAAAGATGAAGTCATGTAAATATCTTGTTGTATTAAAGACTTTTAATAAGTCAAAAGGGTCATTTTTTCATCAAAATTTAGCATTTTTAGGGCATGAAAAATGTATGTTGGTTGCCATGGTAACCATTGAACATAGCAACCATTTTATTATGAATTTTAGTTTCATACATCAATATAGGAATGTGTGCCAAGTTTCATTAAAATCTAAGACCTAGCGTGCCACACTCCCTATATAAGAGTTTAAATGCTTACAGAGAATGGCTATTAATTGCTGAAAGTCTATTTATAATCAAGCTGAGTTAACAATAAATAAATCCACAATTTATTTCAAATTCTTTAATTTTAAATGAAAATTTGAGAAAGCTTGCTTTGTTCCGAGCTATTAGTGTTAGATGGAAACTATAATTTTATTTTGCAGTTCAATTGTGCATATATCAGAGAGATGTGCATATTACTTTGATTTTTGTTCATTCATGGGGATATCATTTGTTGAATTCAGTCATTTTAATACAAAATATGCTAATGGATGTCACCTCATGCAATTCTCAGAATAGAAAGTTTTTTGAATTCATGTGAGAAATACCAGTACTGTTCATACAAAAGAAAATCCGATTTGCTGTCACATCGACAGATTTCCTTTTGTATGTTAAATTATTGTTTTTATGCAGGGTTTTTTTTTATTTACTCATGTGACCGTTAAGACCCTCGAACCTCTTTTTGTTTCATAGGAATATTTGTTAAAAGTAAAATTTCATTTCTTGTTTTTGTAGATAAAACACGTTTCTCATTCATTGCTCCCCACGCCTACAGTGACCATAGATATGCAAGGATAAGCACAACAATGGAGAACTTTGCCGATGACAACATTGCAGAGTAGGAATTTCATACTAGTTTTCCTTTTTTAGCTCACCTAAGCTGAAAGCTCAAGTGAGCTTTTCTGATCACATTTTGTTTGTCGTCCGTCTGTGAAGCTGTCCATCTGTCCATCTGTCACAGATTAAGAATTAGTGAAAATTTGGTGGTATCTTTTAAAAATCTTCTCAAGAACCACTGAGCTGAAAAAGTTGAAACTGATTTGAAACCTTCATTACATAGTGTATATTCAAATTTGTTCAAATCATGACCCCCTGGGGTAGGGTGGGGCTACAATGGGGGATCAAAGTTTTACATAGGAATATATAGGAAAAAATCTTCTTCTCAAGAACATCAAAGCCACAATTAGTCATACTGATACTGAATCATCCTCAGGTAGTGTACATTCAAGTTTGTACAAATGATGACCCCCGGGGGTAGGGTGGAGCCACAAGTGGAGATCAAAGATTTACATTGGAATGTATACTAGGAATAAATCTTTAGAAATCTTCTTATCAAGAACAAAAAAGCCACAACTAGCCATATTGATATGAAATCATCCTCAGGTAGTGTAGATCCAAGTTTGTTCGAATCATGACCCCCAGGGGTAGGGTGGGACCACAATGGGGGATCAAAGTTTTACATGGAAATATATAGACAAATCTTGAAAAATCTTTTTCTCAAAAACAACAAAGCCACAATTAGTCATATTGATACGCAATATCATCCTCAGTCAGTGTAGATTCAAGTTTTTACAATTCATGAACCCCCCCCCCCCGGTAGAATAGCAGACATTTTTTAAAATTCTGTTTTTTAAGAACAGCAAAACGATGATTAGTTATATGAATTTAGAAGCATCCTCAGAAAGTTAGATTCAGTTTCATTCAAATCATGGCACCTGGGGGTAGGGTATGCCTAGAACAGGCGATCAAAGTTTTACATATGAATATATAGGAGAAGAAATCTGCTGACGAAGAACAGCAGGGCTATATTGACTCAGGTGAGCGTTGTGGCCCATGGGCCTCTTTTTGCAATCTCTAGGTGCCATTTTTCCCTGGCAGATTGTGCACATTCATTGTATAAATATTTTAATTAGCCAGAATTTTAATTAATATTTGTATAATTTTATCATAACTTTTACACTTTTTGAAATTTCCTAATTTCAATACACAACGATGTCTCCTTGATAGTTCATCATTGTCTTTGGACAACAAATAAAATAGGTAAAATAAATAATTTATTGAGATATTCCGCAAAAAATATCTCAAAATCTATTTATTTCGTTTGAAGAAAACGAATGTAACTTTGCCTCAGATGTTAATTGTTGTATTTTATGTCAGACGGGAAGCAGAATATGAACAGACAACTCCCAAACAAACGAGAGGAGTTTCAAACAGAGAACAAAATTTTGTAGGTAGGTAGACAACAATATAACATTTAAGTCAAGGTATTTTACTTTAAAAATATTTGAATCGAATAAACCTTACCTCTTGTTTTTTTCAGCAAGTCCGAATCGGGTAAATGTTACCATAACTGTAAGATACCAAGGTTATGTGTGAATTGTGTTTAGTTTTTTTTTATTATAAGTATTTATAAGTAACAGGTAGATCTTCACCATAGAAACGACTATTTAAAGTAGCCATGATGGACATTTAAAATACATTTTGTAATACTCTTGTTAAATAATGTAGTTCATTTGCATGTTGTATGGATTTGTAACTTATCCCTGTCATATTACAGTTCCAATAGCACCCCCGCCACCAGTGGCACCGCCAGCTCCGTTTCCTCCTGCGCCGCCACCGCCGCCGCCGCCACCACCACCACCCGGTGGCACAAGGGGCAAAAGTAAATGAAGGGCAAATGTGATTACTTATTAATTATCATCAATTCCTGAACTCTTTTCATGATGCATGATTTATGTTTAAAAATATTTGGTTTGGCCGGGATGCCTCTATTTTCATATATACACTCAATCTGTTTATAGTAGTGTGTGGAATAATTGTATGAATAACAGATTCTGGCATTCAGTTGAATTTATATGATTCTGAGTTTATATGAACCAGAAGAAAAATTCATGAATTATATGTATGTAACAGTGAAGATCATTACTCATTAAAACTTCTGCAAGAAATATAACAGCCAAAATATTTGCACACAATCCTATTTTCTTGCTCAAATCACATACAATAAGGGAAATAAATATTAGTAATACAACGTGTTGATTTTTTATTGTTGGCGCTTAAAACGCACGATTTTGCGTCTTTTCACACACAAAAAAAGATATTTAAAAAAATCATTTTGGGTGCTCCCCAACTGTTCCATTTGCGCTCATTGCGCACCCTCTTTGCAAAAATCGTCTGTTGATCTGGCCCTCATTACAGATTATGAATTAAGCATTACTCAAAAGCAAAAACAGGAATTCTGTAGGAATTATTTTAGAGATAAACAACGTTATTTACATGTAGTTAACATGGCGATGTGAATAGTTGTTGCTCTTTTGGCATATTCCATGGTGCGCGCTAGCGCATCATGGAAAATATGGTAACGGAGCAAATTTTTTTTATAGTAATTCATAATTCCATGTTCAGTGAATAGCGTTATTTATTACATTGTACTTATATTTGCATTCCATGATGTCAAGAGTGAAAGAAGAAAGGCTGATTTGATTTCTGTACTGCAGCTTGTCATAATTAAAAAAAAAATAACCGATGAAACTTGCAAAATATTTAATAATGCAACATTTTTTCAGCAATGAACAGTTCAAACAAATGAAGACATTTTATTGACTATATTAATAATAATATTGATAATTTTAATAACAGTACAACTTATTCATGTAATTTGGATGAAGGCACGTGAGATATTTTATCGATCTCAACTTTACAAGCCACAAAAAAGCCATGAAACAGTTGACCTTTCAAACTTCTCAAAAATGCTTTCAGGTTGCTGGTCTCAAAATTTTGAATAAAACTACTTTAGAAGAAAACTGTTGATTGCTTCAAAAACAAAGCAGTCGGATTTTGTAAGAATAAAGGAGAAAATAATTATTCAATCGATGTTAGTATTTTACATTTAGGTATAGCTATAGAATTGGGAAAACTAATGATATCTAATGTTCTATGTCTTTACACGTTTTCTCCATACAGTTTCTCAACTCAAATTCTTCCCTTTAAATTTAGGTTGATTCCTTTCCCCTCTGATCGGGCTGTGGAAAGTCCGATGTGACACTCGGTCACAGAAAAATTATTTTCATTTTATCCTTAATCTAAAAAAACTACCTCAGAATGTGGCTTCAGTATTCTGGATCTAAGTAAGAATCACTTTCTTTGTGATCGAACCAAGACATCAGTCTCAGAGTAAGAAAAGATTGTTTTTTTTATGAATTTAGTCCATTGTGTACACTTGGACACATACCAGTTCTTGCTATTGCCTATAGCTAGACAACTTCAGATGTGCAGTACCTGTTTACACTCAACAGAAAGTAAAATTATTTGGACACATTGAAAAGTCAAATGTAACATGCCTCCCTTCGAGGTTCCTATAAAGCTATATAGCATATCTTGCATTGGTTAGGTGTCCGTTGTCTGGCCGTCCTGTCTTTACACATTACATACATACCTACCTGCGTATATCATCAAGGCAAGCTAGTTGCTTGATATAAATTTGAGCGTTATAACTGACTTCTTGGCTTCAATAGCATTTCTAACAAGCATTCTGAGAGTATTGCATTAGCAATACTAGTCCCCTACCGGCAAGTGTAATTTGGTTCCCGTTAAAAATTGAAAATGCCTTAATTCCGTCAAAAATCAATGAAGCGGAATGAAATGCAAACTTGATCTATAACACATCAAGGTAAAGTCACATACCAAAAATCAGCTCAATATCTGCAAGCGTTTAGAAAAAAAGTGCGGAAAACCCTGAAAAATTGAGAAGGTCGTAATTCCGTCAAAAATCATTGAAGCGGAACGAAATGCAAACTTGATCTGTAACTCATCAAGATACACTCACATACCAAAAATCAGCTCAGTATCTGCAAGCGTTTAGAAGAAAAGTGCGGAAAACCAAGTGGGACAGACTGACAGACGGACTCAGAGGAAACCTATAGTCCCCTCCGGTTTCACCGGTAGGGGACTAAAAATAGCATTTTAAAAAAATTCATTGAATTGCCCCCATCTCTCTTTAAGGACAATTTATTTTTTTTAATGATAGGAAGTGGATTAATTATTTCTTCCTTTTTTTATTATGTCGGCTTCGAAGGTCCCCTACATTCCCTACTTTAGAAGAGACCTACATCATCAATGCCATTTGTCAGGAAAAATGTGCATCGTATTGTTCCCTTTTTCGAAATCAAGAAACACTATTATTAAATTATTAATTAAAAACACTATAAGATCGTGAAGATAATGATTTTTTTTTAATAATGAACAAGTAATCGATCTAAAAGGTAGACGAGGAACCAGTGTCTAAAATTTGATCGATTTGACAACCCTATGAGTAAAATAAAAAATAACGAAAGAAAACAAATATTTTTTTTTATTACAAAAGCAAGACACTGTTCACACCAGACAACCGTTAACCCACCACCGACGTCACAGAAGTTTTGGGAGAGTAGTAACAAAAATGCAGTCGTATGTCTTTACCACCATCTTCATATGGGTGGTCTCCGGATCGACTGTTATGATTGTGTGAATCCTCTGTGTCCCACAAAATGGTTTCCTCTCTTATATTCATCCCGACCACGCCCTGGCATCCTCGTTTATGACGTAACAAGACGAAAGGTTTGTCCCTTGGCAAAGCAATTTGTTCTGTTGGAAGCCCGTCACTCCTTTTTTTAAAGAAATTTATAACGTAGTGAAAAGTTAAGTTGTTTTGGTTAAATGAAACAAAGTATTGTTAATAACGTTTACAATGTAATTGTAATCATATTAATTATTGCTAGAACTTTTTTTCCATTCATGATTTAGTTTCTGAATGTGCTTCAAAGAAGTTTCAAAGTTGCTACATGTATACAAAAAAAAGTCTGTCAACTTTCAAATCAAGTTTTAAAAAAGATGTTCGATGTCGATTAAAGATAAAAGAAAAGATTTTGGACATAAAATATTAAAAACTACACGGATGCTCATATGTAAACCATGTGATAGAAATTAGCATATTATTCATTTATTACGAGATTATAAAGCTTTAAAATGTTTCATTCGTTTTTCAAATTTCCATCAAACAGTAATTTGAAATAAGAAAATCATGAATTAAATTGACATGATCTGCTTTTTGGCACATGTTTGATAATGTGATGTAATTAAAAAAATTATGGTTAAGGTACATTAAAAGGGTATTTTTAGGGGGAAAATTCAAAAAAACTTTGATGCGTATGTAAAGATACATGCACATGCATAAAACGAGCATGAAATTAAAAAATTCTACGAATGGTCCATTCGTAGAAATTTTTAACTACATGCTCATTGGTACACGTTTGTTACGGGCAGTGTTTTTGCTTGCACACATGGCTTAGGCTATTAAGATCGCCAAACTGCGTTTTAGACATCCTTTATTATTTCTTCTTTTTTTTCAATGAAATCTGAGGTTTTCAATTTTGCAAGTTTCAAAATCACCATCATTTTGGCTCAGAATGAAAAAAAATAATACGAGTATCTTTAGTTTTTTTATGCAAAAGCAAAGTTACGGATCATATATCTTTAAAACTTTTTTAAAACAATGAATACTTGTACATTAAAATATATTTTTCAAGCAAGATTTAAAGACAAAGATCAAAATAAGCCTTTGGATCAAAATCAAAACAATTCTCATGATAGATGAGCCATATCAATAAAATAAATACATGTAATTATCGTGTTACAATGTTGAACGCCATGAATTCAACATAATCTTGACCCCTCAGATAAGACACCTTTGAAGTCAGTTCAAGACCTCGACGCGTCAGGACAATTATTACTATGACCGACATTATCATATAATTGTACATGACTAGAAGAATTGACCTCAAATGAAAGGACGGGGGCATAAGCCCCTCATACTTGTGGAGTCTATGTATGACCTTACCTACAGCAGTAGTCAATTTGGGTATTGCCGTCAAAAATTCCGTCAGGTAGAGTTCCATGCTTCTGATTTCTATCTCCAGGGTCTTCATCATCCCATCTTATGGAGCCATAAGAAAAGCCTGGTCAAAGAAATTTAAAATCACCAAACGATTAAGAAATTGATAGACCATTGCCCCATAAAGCAATCACTCGCATTTCAAACTCGAGTTTTAATAAAAACAATATGACTTACCGTCTGGGCATTTGCCATATTTTAGGATACAGTAATCTCCTTTTGGCCAATTCATATCATACTGGGATACCTGTGTGTCTCCTTTAATGCAGAATTCTTGTGCAATTCTTTTGTCATCCTTCGCACCTACAATCAAATTAAACTTGGAAGATAACGGAGAGTAATCAAGCTAAAAAATTCATTGGGAAAAAAAAAAAAAAAAAAAAAATTGGAAGCAGAGCAAATCACGGACATCTAAAAACTTCAGAGGTGGTATCAGGTAGTATCCCTTGTCGACCGGTCACATCCGCCGTGTGCTCCTTGTCATGATTGGACAAACGAAAAATCCGTAGACAATTCAGTGTAAAAATAATAGCCTAAAATTTGTATGAAAAACGTCAGTCAATATTCGACTTAACGATACATTGTATTTGTCAACAAAAACATTGTATCGATATGTTGATTTTAAACGAGACTGTTGATATCCTTGTATCATCAACTTATTTGTAAATATTTTGCTTTTAGAAACTGTTCGTATTTCATAGTAAAAAGTAGTCATTTTCGAGGTCTAAACTCTTAATCTCTATATTATCATAATTATATAAATAATCTCCTGCACTGAAAGTGCATTATGTGTGAACTGAAGTATGTCGGAAGCGAAAGTGTACGTTCACTGTAATCATAATGTATAATATAAATTATCATATGGGTAGTGCAAAACATTTTCCCCAAGATATTCAATGAAAACATTAATGATTGATTGTTGTTTTACGCCCCGTTCGAGAATTTTTCACTCATATAGAGACGTCACCATATACCGGTGAAGGGCTTCAAATTTAGACCTTTACTCGGCACTCAGGGCCATTGAGCATTGAGTGTTCTTTATGGTGCCAGGTCCTACCGTGACACGGGGCCTCGGTTTTTAAGGTCTCATCCGAAGGACCCGCAACTTTCACTTCGAAGTGCCGAGCGCTTGGCGAAGGAACAGTTGCTACCTTTTTTTATCGTCTTAGGTCAGTCGCGGCCTTGATTCGAACACACCACCTTACGATCACAGAGCGAGCGCTCTACCGACTGAAATACATAAATGTATTCAAAGGAAGAAACAAAAGCCAACGTACCATGTAAATGGATATTTGATGACCAGGAATTGTGGTTATGATAGTCTTCAGTGTCTTGTATAATGTAACCAACATGCCAAGTAAAGGAGTGTTCCGATGGACATCCGGTTGTCGTCAACATTAATCCGTATGTGCCTTTGGGCCACGTGACTGGGATCTTCAGTTGGGGGTCTTTGGAATAAATAAATGAATAAATTATACATAAGGTTAGTAACAAACATAACAGTATTAATAAGAAAATTTCATGTAACAAGATCCTCATCCTTAAAAAATATTATATCTGACGAATGACGAAACGTATCTCCTTTTCAGTGTTACATGTAGTGTAAGCAAAAACACTATTATTTCCTGGTAGATAAAGTGTGCAAGTTACATTCATATTTATTGAAAACTCAATAAAAATAGATCTTATGTCCCGTCATATTTAAAAGTCCAAAAGCTCAAAACGAGTGGTATCATGGCATGTTAAACAAAAAAGATTTAGCTGAAAGTGAAGCTACCCAGCTTAAAAATACAACTGGAAAAGTGCCCACTTTAAGATTTACAATATTTCATTACTTGTGGGAGTTGGCGCCTTTTTGTATGCTGCATAATCTCCCAAAGATCGGATTAAATGTGACTTTCGTAATTGTAGATGCCCCTGGTCATCAGTTGTGCAAATACTTGCAGCGATTAAATCATCAAATCTCTGCCAGAACATAGGTTGGAGAGCTTCATCAATGGTTTGTAATTTCAGACCAATCGGTTCCGGGAGGGTTTCAGAGCCGGATTGCAAAGTATACTGATAAGTTCCATAGTTCTGCTTAAAACTGCTACTTTGTTTGAATGTATCAAAGTTGATTCCTAAAGATGCGGAATATCCGAGATACGATCCTCCGACATCTAAATCGAAACCTCCCTGAAACACATAGTTACAACAGACATTAACCAGAATTATGATATGTTCTAAATGTATTAGTTATGCACAAATCGTATTTTTAGAAGATATGACAAAATAGTTTTTTTCTGCCATCAACGTACTTGTTTTAAAGGTATTTAAAAGATAAAGTTCAAGGTAAAAAATATACACTCATGTGTACTATTCATTGGTAAGTAGACGGTAAAAGATATCACCTGCTATATTGGGGGAGGGGGTTTTACTCTTGGGAAAAAAGGCACTTAACGCATTTAAACTAAGGAGATCTCCTCCTGCGAATTCTAACTTAAGAGTGTGGACATATAATTTTTTTGGGGGGTGGGTGGGGGATCCTAACAGATTGTAGATGCCATACGAAAGGTGAGTGTATCTCGCTAATATCACCTTTGAAGAACCATTCTTTAGAAAGAGGGTTGGTTTAGCCCCGTTTTATTTCGTAGCAGCACCAGCCAAAGCTGTTGGTTGGAATGGTACATTTTATAAAAACAAAAAATAAAAACTTCAGTTCTTATTGAATAATGCGTACTTATATAAACAAAACCCAAGGGTAACTTCCTATCTGTTGGTTTATTCAAAAGAGCCGCTTGGATTGATCTTTTACAATGAAGGTGACCATATTTTATACCGTGAATTTTTAAATGTTACAACATCATTATCAACAAATGGCTTCATTTGACTCATATTTTACTTATTCGTAAAGGATATCTCGAATGATAGCAATACTTGTGACTCAGAAATAGTTCCGACTTTTAGAAATAAATTGGTTTGAAGTTTAGCCAATTGCATTAGACAATTGAAATGATCATGTTCTTCCAGTAGCACCTAGTACATGCAGATAATGATGAATGCAGTCAACAAATTTTTTAAAGAAACATTTACATGTACATGGGAACTAAAAGATACATTCCCTGGAGTGAATGTAAAATTGGTGTTACAATACATGTAATATGATCATGGAGAACGTATAGAATTTGGACTCACCGACTTACTAACTTGCTCCATAAATTGTTTAAAGGAGCTTTGTGAACGGCTGATTTGTTTTTGGCCGAGTTCAACTTCAATCGTAATGTGCTGAAAAAAAAGAATTTAAATGTTGTTGGGAAAATGCAATATAAACGTAATTTTTACAAACTTCGTTTTACTGTATGAAGGTCCTTTGTGTTCACTACCAAACGACCAAACGTTAATTAAAAATTTACATGTCATGAAAAGAAAGAAACATTGTATTTGTTTTAACAATCAAAAATCAACATTTCCTGCTGTTCTGTTCAAAATTTACAACAAAGTAACATTTTTGATTTCTTTACTACCGACCGTTCCCCATTGATCCAAAAAATCCATGTAAGCCGATTGGTTGTACGTCACCGGAAGTGAACAAATAGCTGCTGCAAAGCTGCGTGTGATGGGAAAATTGCCTGCATTGGCTAATTCAGTCATGTAACGCACTCTACCAAGATTACACAGGTTTTGCTGATCCTGAATTATATTGTGTTCTAAATTTGTCTTATTATGAGCTTGTTGATATCCTGTAAAAAGACATATAGAAAGTCAATATTTGTTGATATACATTCTTTACAACTTAAAGTCCACACTTGTGTTATAAAACGAGAGTCGAAATCTTGAAATCTATTTCACTACGTTAAAATACATTTTAGACCTATATCGTGAACATACTCACTCCCACTTAACGTGAAGGAAAAAGAGGCTAATCCTACACCTGCACCACCTGAAAAGGTTCAAAATATCTATTGAAATACAATTTAACTCGGTATTTTTTGTAACGTTAAAATAAGAAACATGTACGTTTACACTCACATGTATATTGGTCAGTAAAAACGTAACAATCCGCCTGACGTTACTTTCAAAATTTGTTCAATTTGAAGGCATTTTTGATGGAGAAATTGTCTTATTTTCTACACTAAATGATGGAAAATTAAATTCTAAGGATTAAGGAATAATTTTAATAGCTACTCAAGTTATACATGTATAACCTGGGTTGAAACAGTTTACGCTTTTTTATAAACCACTTCGTGGTTTATAAAGCGTAAACTGCCCCAACCCAGATTATACAGTATAACTTGGGTAGATATTAAATTCATTCCTTAAATATTTTGATTAAAGACAGACAAAAACAGTGGTAAGAATTTGTTCGTAGAATGGGCTGTATGATTATTTTGACATTTCATGAATATTTTCGGTGGCGGATTCATAGTTGATTGAGAGGTGTAATTAATTTTAAGTAGGTGGAATGACACCGTAATTCATGTAAAACTGTTGAAAAAATATATCATACAAAGATCATATGATATTGCCCATATAATTATATTTGTCATAAAAATAGCATACAACCTGGGAAATATGGAAAGATGATGATATATAACCTATACATGCATCTGATAAATTATCGATGGGAATAAAGATCCAGTGAATATGCTAAAGCAATAAAACAAATGTTCAAATGAGAAACTGAAAGAGTCTATATAGCTACCGTCTGCAGATGTGAATAAATTACATAATAAGCTACAAGATGACGTTACAATAGATTCCGCTGATTTTTTTTTTTAAAGCATGCCATTTTTTAAAATCATTTTTTTAAAATTTCCCAATACATTGTATTTTCTAAAAGCTTTTATATGCATCAGTCTGTAATGTAAGAGAGGCTGTTAATATTCCAGAATGCATTTAAGAATAAAGGTGATACACTTCATCGTAAAGTAAAAATTGCTGTATATATTAAGCGGATTGTCAATTCTTATTTGTCAGGGATCCAAAATGTCAAACGACGACGGGGTGGGGCACCGACATAAAGGTTCAAAATGAAATTCAGGCACTAGACTTGCTCAAGTCTCTATGTTGTTTTTTTTTTAATTAAATAATTCTTTGTTTATTTTTGTCTTGTTGTCCTCTGCTCTCCCTCATAGTTAAATGTTATCAAACATAGAGACTTTATGTTTGACATTATCAAAAAGTATGAAAGAGAGCACTAAAACATAGAGACTTGAGCAAGTCTATTTAGGCACTAAAAGTTGAAAAAAAAATCTGTTTTGGACGAGGAGTTCGTTGAAGCAAATTAGGTGATTTATTAATTTTAAAAAAAAAAGACAGCGCCTGTAAACGGACCAGAAACACTCCTATATCCCCCACTCCTGATCGGTCGCATACTTCAACTTTTTTGAGTCTGGAGAAGAGAACTGTCCCTCATTTTAGACACACCTTTCCTTTAATTTATTTTCCATCCTTTTTTAAACACGTTAAAATCCGTGTCGATTAGAAAGTTTTTTTTTGTAATGATATCTTGTAGTTCTTTTTTTCAAGTTTACATTACAAAGCTTATTTAGATACAAGGTTCAATTCTGACATTCAATTCAATACAGTGTAGCTTTATCTGAAAGCTATCACATCGAGCGAAACTTCATACATCAATGTATACAAGTTTAAATATTAAAAAAATCTTAATCTATTTATTCTGGAAAAAAACGAAATAAGTTTCGGGAGAAAATAGACGAAGTTTTCCATATCAGCCATCCAAGGGAAGTGCACCTCTACATTGAAACTGAATAAATTATCACTGTAAGCATGAAAAATTACCTCATACACTTGAAAAGATGGGACTGCAAATACAAACACGTTAGGGTTAGAGATTTATGATACGAAATCAAATTTTTATGGTATTTGATTTGGAAGTACATATTACGTAATATATGTTTCACATTCAAGAATTATACGTACCGAACGCATTGATTAAAAAAAAATTCCTGAAGAGGTCTCTATAAAGTTTGACTTGCATGCTCCGTTAAAACAAAACGACTACTTATACGTGTGCAGTTATGTTAGTTCTAGATAGAAATATACAAAATTAAGAGATTTACAACTGTGTTTTATAACGCGGGGGAAAATATATGCCGCATTTGAATTTAACAACACAGTTATGTCAATAAGGAACATATCTGAATCATGAAATAAAACGGAAAAATTTTAAATAAAAAAAAATGAACGCAAGTCATCAGAAATGCATAGGTTGGAACATTCATTTATAAAACCATGACAAGCTTATAATTAGCTGGCCAGCCTAAATAAAGTATGTGCGTGTGTGACGGGGGGGGGGGGGGGGCATTCCGTGTTACGAACAATCCTGTGAACTTCACAGATTCTGTCTACACTCAATGCATAATGGTGAAAAACGTCGTAAGGGTGGATTCATGAACTCACGATTTGTTAAAGAGTGTGGTAAAGATTTGAACGTGGGGAGGGGGTGTTTTCATTGCCAACTATTAATAAAAAAAAAATATCGGAAATATATTGAATGCTTTTTTTATATACTTTTAAAAGGAATTAAACATTCGATTGTTCTTTTTTCTTAAAAAATATATGTTTAAAAAGTTTTATGTAAACTAAAGTGTATTCTTGAAAATTAAACCGGAACAACTCACCGAATATTTTCGTATCTATGTCCCAGAGACTTTAATTTTGCGACTTAGTTAAAGATATGATTTAGTTTTTTTAGATTTAGTTCTCTAGTTTCAAACGAAAAAAACAAAGATACCTGAGGTTGTCACGCCAAGTTTTAGTTTGTCTTGGTAGGATTTGGTTCCATAGAACATAGAAGTTGTGTTCTTGTTAGCACAGCTATGTCGGTGTTCGATTTGAACTCTTATTGGTGAGTCATTTTCGGTTACCTCAAGAATTTTCCTGGTGTACAATAGGCCTGGATCGACTCCTCCGTTTGAAACTAAACTTCCATCAGGATTCCCGGTTAGCAAGTTATATCCTACTCCAATGTAGTGAAGATCTTCTTGTTGAGCCGTCGTAAAGCTCAACAGAATCGATATGAACAACACAGGGTGTAATCTACACATTCTTAATGACCTAAATTACATTTCAGAAACTGATGTGAGATTCTGTATTCGTTCCAAAGCTATAGTTCGAATTAAAGAGAATTTTTGATTTTTAATTTAATTGCCTTTATCAGAAATATGCATCGTTATACAAGGAAAAAACAAGTAACCACTGTACAATAGAAGCAAACGTTTCTCCTAAAATCAGAATCTAAGAGGTGAGATATCGGTACTTAGAAAATGAGATTGAATATTACCCCCTTCCACTTTGAACGCACTCTTTCAATGAATGCGATGACTTACACAATAGGAAGGTTATGGTTTTATCTTATCTTTATTAATAAACGGTGTTAATATCTATTCCATTGAACCAAGTCGTCCACCAATTATCTACACACTGATCAAGATTTAAAAAAATCCACAAAGGTAATCAAATATTACAAGGCACACCACCGACGAATGCTATCTTCGCGTAAGCCAAAGTAACGTACAAGTAAATGCCTATCAAATCCATTAGTTACATAGAAGTACAACATTAGAGGTTTTTCTTTAAACAACTGAATATAATATCCATGTCACTTGCATAATCTTAAGCGAAATATGACTACGTCATCCATACAGATTTGATCCAGGTAGGGCTCCTTTAATCTGGTCACTCCTCTGGAAAACATGACAGATGCAGCATCCGAAGCAAGTCTGCTGCAAGTTAATTCAGAATTTGTGTCCTCTGTTTAAAGAGAAAACAAGAGGGAAGAACAAAAAAAAAATGCAGATGGAGAAAGAAAAAAAGTAAACCTTGACCTTTCAGCTTTTGGTCTTCAAGTCAGTCAAGGTTAAAAATACTCATGACCTTAAGCAGGGAACAAAAATCAAATGCATCCCTAGATGAATCACAAATAGTCCACTACGTAGTATCCATGGTTACAATAATGAAGCAATACCTTCCTAATTTTCTTTATGCTCTCAGTGTTACTGTGTGTCACTCTGCTGTGTTACCATAACAACAATGATATTTATTTTAAGATAATATTGCTATAACTTATTTACATGTACGTCAGATCAACTTTGTTATTGTTTCTCGACCATTGGTAATTCAGCTTGGTCATGTAACTCCTACAATTAAAGCTATGTATGGCGTATCTGAGCTTAAAAAATAATAATACGAGACTGAGTGTAGATATATACATGATAGATGTTATTTACGTTCAAATTCAAATTTTCACAGATTTTGAACTTGAATAACGTCACGTTTCAATAGCTAAATGGACTTTAAACTTGTCTTTTATTTAAAAGTGGAATCGGTAAATAAATCAGTTATTGTTTCAAAGAAGGTACAGTTTGGGCTTTATCGTGCGCTAAAAATTTAATGTTTTCAAAAAGTTATGGAATTGGCTTAAATATGAGTTGAGTATATGAATGTGATAAATCATGAAAGAAAACGACATGAAGGAGGACCATTCTGGAAATATGACGTCATTATTTTGGTACATTTTAAAGTTTTCAGCAGAAAAAGCCTCAAAATGACTCATTTCTGGGCCTATTTTCCTTAAGAAAATAATGACCACAGGCGTCGCCCACTGCAAGTTTTGGATATGTTGTGTAAAATCCTTTGAAAAATCATATCTCTGAAAATCTTTGTGGGCAATGCAAGTGCTCTAGATTATCTGAGAGAAAAATTCACTGAAAATTGATGTCTTCTGCAACTTTTAAAGAAAATACGGGAAAATGCAAGTTTATGACGTCACAATTAGCCTTTAGGAAGTCATATGAGAAAAACGATTTTTATATTTTTACTGCATGGAATTTCAACCACTATAAAAGCATGAGTTTTAATTTCTTACATCACTTTCATATTTAAAAATACTGGGCAAGATTTGTAATGAAACTGTACCTTGTTCTTTGATATCTTTGAAACGCGATTGATTTCAACTGTGTAATTTGCAGAAAAGGCCTAACTTTATTTAAACTAATAAAACAAATAGAAAGATCTTTTTAATTTTGGTTATCTTAATATATCAAAAATATGCCATATTTGGCTTTGAGTGTTTTTCAGCATATAAAATGAATGCTAAATATAGCCAAGGTTACCACATATTTAGAGATGTATTCCAAAGAATTTCTTTACATCGTAAGCAGCAACTACATGTAGGTATTATGTTTTTGTGTGTTTGTGTGTCTGTGTAAGTGTTAAATTATTTGGTTTTCTTAGTCCTTTTAAAGATTCAGTAATGATTCAAAATAGCTGAAAATCTTAATTTTTGAAATTTTTCCTCTGTTACCATGGCAACCAGGAACAGCATCGAAATTTTTATGAATTTCTGTTTTTGGTTTCATCTTTAAAAAAGAACAAAGTTTTAAAATCGGTGACCATGCGTGCCTAAAAAGTGTAAGTGGCTACAGAGAATTACTTTCTAAAATGTTTAAGAATGCTACAGTGTAATATAACGTGTTCTATTGTCAAAGGCAGCAGGCATATTGTTATCCCTAATACAACTAACTTTTTTAAAAACTTTTTTTTGAAAATCAAGGTTAACTACCCGAGTATATACAGACAAATAACCTAATCTCCGTCATAAATTATTCTATTCCAATTTTTTTTCTTCTCACAAATTTGTACAGTTTTTCATTTAAAGAAGAACCCTAACTGCTGGTCAGAAAGAGACGAGTACACTTCTAAATTAGGAGCCTTCCCTCGTCAACTGGCTGCGTTGAACATTTCCCGAAGAGACGTAAAGCGAAAAAAGCTCAAACCTGATTGTATCCAAAGTCAGAGGACTACAAAATGCAACAATGAATATGTTACAGAAATCGATACAGAAAATGGTTGTCTTGTTAGATTTTTAGTTTGGAGATTTAATATATTGAATAAAACCTGAAGGCGTCTAAATGACCACTTCAAACTTTTAAGGTGATTTTCAATTAAATTTTAACTTGAATCTTGAATCGGTGATTTTAATTGCTCATTTTGTACGTATCCAACTATAATTAGCAGTTTAAAACCCATCACTGAAAATTTACATAAATTTCTTTTCCTTACTGTGTATTTTGATTTATTTGTTTATTTTTTTAATGCACTTTTCAATATATTTTTATTTTTTATAATCAGGTTTTATTTATTACTGCTTTTAAGTGATTACATCTATGCAAGTAAACCGATTGCTCTTTATTATTTTCATTTATATACGAATAACGTTTCAAATAGTATCTAATCGAAAAGTACAAATTGTACAACAATAAGACGTTACCATTTTAACACAAAGAGTCTGCGAACGTCTATCTCTTCCAATCATTATAAGACCTTAATATCATGTCTTTAATTCAGATCACAATATATGTGATGATTAAAATACTTGCCATTTAATACAGTAAATAGTGTTAATAAAGTCATTCGTTTATTAATTGTCTATGTTAATGTAAAATAAATCTTACAAGCAATAAAATCCTATCTTTCTGTGATAACCCACGTGTATTTGTAAATATCCTATGTTTGTTTCTTTTTGTTACAGCATGAAATGTATGGAGATAACAAACAGTATTCAAGCTCCTAAGTCCATTAAACAATACAAATTTAGGAGGAGAGCAAACACGAATCCCTAAAACATCAGAGGTGGGATCAGGTGCCATGGAGGAGTGAGCATCCCCTGCCGATCGGTCACACCCGCCATGTGCTCCTTGTCATGATCAGGAAATAAGGGGAAAATCCGTCGACGATTCAGTGTGTAAATAATGGCCTAACAATTAGTATGAAAAACGTCAGTCAGCATTTGATTTATTGATAAGTTGTATTTGCTGACAAGGTCATTGTATCGACCATAAACTTATGAAATGACGACTTTAAACGAGACTGCTGATATTATTGTTTCATCACCTTGTTTGTCAATAACTTACCTCATTTTAGAAATTGTTCATACGTAGAGCATGCTCTTTAGCATAAAATACTCACAACATTGGGTAAGAGAGAAAAAAGAACCCCCATTCGATTGCATCTTTAATCAGAATCAACTTAAACTTTTTTCATCCAAGTGAATTTAATTTTGAACATTTCATTTCAGCGATCGATGTTCTTTTTAGGAAAAAATCCATTTTGACATAGGATGAACCTTTTCCTGAAATTTCAATAACACAAAGTTTTGATATATTGTACAAGACAAAAGATTGTAGGACTGATGCGGGAGACAGAAGGACAGACATAAGTGAATGAAAACAAAACTTCAATTTCTGTGGAGAAAAAATAATACTGGTGTCACAAAGTTTTTTTTTTCTTTTATTGAAATACAGGGTGTTTCATAATATATGTTACATTTTGAAGCTTCAATTTCACAAACACAAGAAAAAGATATAGACAAGTGTTTTTATCAACTTGATGCATGTATCTATAAGATTCATTATATACCATTAACAACTAAAATATTACACACTGGACAAAATCTCAAACATTAATGAAAATTAGTGAAATTTCTTAATTACGTCATTTTTGTTACGTTGAATTTCACAACGTCAAAAGCCCACACTACATGTTTTAATGATCTCCACTATATCATCTACAATCGAAAGTTGCTTTTCGAAATTGGTATAATCTTGTAACACATTTTTGCCTAGACACTCCTCATGTGAAGGTTTATGTTTCTTTTGAGCTCATTCAGTATCTGCGGTCTAGGATTGTAGACCCTGTTCCTAAAGAACCCCTACAGAAAAAGACCCAAAGATTGAGATTGGAGAATGCAGAGATCAATCTCTTTTCTTGGGGTATAGCATTATTGAAAATTTGTACGCTGATAACTTCATATCATGACCTAGAATGTATATATATACGTAGTGATTTTATGTTTTCTTTTGATTAAAATTCAACGTTAAAAAAATTGAAAAAAGTCAGGCAAGAACCATAATTTTCTTTTCTTTCATCTTATATCATTTTGGTCTTTCTAGCAATAACCCATGATATAGAAAAATCTTTTAAGGTATACGGGGATCTGTACACATAAGCATGTTTTGCGATAATGGCTGACTCTTTGTATTATAACTTTATTGCAGGGGGATGCTATTCCTGGGAGTGGAGTGTCCCTCAGAATTTGTGAAGTTCATATACTCTGGTGTTCTTCTCTTTGCAAAGAGAAATCTGAAATAAAAATGATAAATTTCTGATTATTTTCATACTCATTAATATTCAAATGATGGTTTAAAAAAAAAAAAAAAAAAAAAAAAAAAAAAAAAAAAAAAACCATTTTGAAGCTTGTAAAGAGGTACTTTAATGTAAAATTATAACTACGTGTAGTTAGAAAATTGTCAATTGATTTTATCTAATAATAATCCTGAAATAGATTATGCTAATAAATTTAAATTTTTAATGAAACATTAATACTCACAATGGCTTCATATTTTATAGAGTCAAATAACATTGCTCATCTTAACAATAAAACTTTGTTGTTTACAACAACGTTCTTTTCAATGATTTTTATATACTATCTGCAATGCAAATTATCTCCAACCTGTAAACAATAGCTGAGACCAATGCCCCCGCAGTGGGCCCCACCCAGTAGACATAGTGATGTTCCCACACATTGAAATACAGGTATCTAGAGTAGGATACAGCCGGTCCTAAACTTCTTGCCGGATTCATAGATCCACCAGTATATTGCGCCCTGTTGTAAATTTGTAAATTAACTAAGGACCGTCATCTTGATTTAATTTGATTTATGTGCATATATTTTAGAGAAAATTATGCTCTTTTAACGAGGCCGAGTCTAATTATTTCTACCCTAGATATTTTGATAAATTTTCTTGAATGAATTTTACTATTATATTAATTATTTTTAAATAAAAAAATCAAATGTTAACCATCCCGATTTCTTAGGGGGCCATCTCAAAAGTTTTCAATTTTTACCATTGGACCCTACGGGAATTTGTTGGAAAAGCGCCAAATTATCACATTTTCCCCATATTTTTTGTATTTCTGCCCTAGGGATTTCTTTTTCACTCAAATACATGAAAGTTATTGTAAAAAGTCACCAAATAGTGAAATTTTTAAAAAGGTGACCATCTGGTTTGGTCTAGGAATTATTACAAAGTTTATTTTTTTCCAATGCCCAATACCTCTAAATTTGCCATATTGCGGCATACATTTTGTATATATCGGCACAGATAAATTATTTTGGTAAAAAATAACAGTGTTTAGATTGCTGGTATGTTTCCTTTGATGTTCTGACAACAGTTTTTAATAAAATGTCCATGGACGTCTTGAAAACTCAAGCGAGTCATGCGTCATTCTTCAGCGTCATGCATTGCTTAGAGAACCGGAAAAAACAATGACGCCGTAAAAGCCATTTCAGCGTGTATTCCTAATTATTGTCTTAAAAGCACATTTGAAGACCCATGAACGTTACAGATAATGTAAATATAATGTTAATTTTGTATCAAAATTACAATACTTAGAATAAGTGTTATGTTGCACCTACGCATGCATGAAACTAAAAAGCTGCGCAAAGTCATGCGCACTCGAATTAGACTCGGCCTCGTTAAATGTCATCAGAATATTGTTGAAATACTGTTTCTGTGGGAAGCTTTATTACTTGATGTCTTAAAGTTCTCACTATGAAAGGTCTTTCATGAAGCGTTTTTGGGGAGTAGATCAAGCCAGATGGCTACATGCAATATCAAATGTAAGAGAACATTTTTGAGTCTCATATTCAAATTTCAGATATAAATGTTTGCAATAAACCAGGGCTGCCGATAGACCCTTCAATTAGTGCTGTGTTGATTACGAGCTCCCAGTTTGGTTGAGTTATTTTAAAATGTGTAAAGTTAGAAATATGTAAATATTTCACATGTAAATTATTTATTATCCGTATACCATTGGTCTTGAAATCTTACCCAGACAAAGCACATGCGATGACCGAGAATCCAATAGCTAGAGCTGACAGTTTTTTCTTCTTTTTATCCAGCGTTGTCAGTAAAACTGTCGAAGCTAATATAAACGTAAGAATGCTTTCCACCAGAACTGCCCAGCCAGGTTTAGTATCATTTATAAGCATCGTTGCTCCACCGATGAATTGTATATATTTATTCTTTGGAAGAGCAGCCTTATAAAAAAGACAACTTAGATTTTCAAGGAACTTATGTTGTTTTAAACTCAAAATTATGACGTCAACTACAGGCAAGTATCATCGTTTTCTAAAAATATGAGGGGAGGGGCGGACGGGGGGGGGGCAAATAAAAAAACCCATGTTAATGAAAGGTTCAAAGATATGTCACAAAAGGTGTCCCCTCGTTATACGTGCCTGATGGATAATAATACAAGAATACTTACAAGGGCCAAGGCCGCTCCTAAGAGACCGCCCAAAATCTGAGCAATGAAAAAGCATACCGCAACAAGCACTGGCAGCGCCCCATTCAAAGTCAGAGCGAAAGTTATGGCTGGGTTAAAATACCCGCCGCTACAATAGATAGTTTTCAGTTCTTTTGAAATTAACTAAATATGACACATTAACATCTAATTAAAGTATACCGAGTATGGAAATTCAAATATACTTTTTTTCCTCTTATTATCAATTAAATGGATATTTTAAGCGCTATGCATTACTTATTCATTTCGTGAAAGCGATTTTATTATTTTATTTTTGAAATAATTTTTTTTAAATTTTGTTCTCCGCCAAAATTCCTTTGGAAGTACAATATCTGCCATAGCTTTAATTTATCGAATCATACCTGATATCACCGAGTGCATAAATCAAGAACACATAAGCAAATCCATACACAAGTCCCGATGTTCCATTGGTGTAAATTTCGCCCATCTGTAAGAAAATTGGAGCACAAAAACACAAGAGGAATACCAAAAATGTGGTCCCTAAAAACTCGGCTAATGTTGGACGAACAAACTTGTCTACCACTGAACCACCACACAGCGCAAAATCGGAGTCGTTTCGATGTATATTTTGAGCTTCGTCTGCCATCTTTCTCACTGCAAACTGCGCAGTGTTTCATTGGAGGTGTAAATGAAAGTCGTTCAGGTTTAGATCTACATTTATGGCATTTCTCGTGTAAACATTAAAAACTACAAACCTTTTCGAAAGGACAAACTTTAAATATCACATCGCACAAATACATAAATATATGAAAGGATTTCAGTGCCAGAATTTTCTTTTAATATATTTTTTTTATTTTTGTACCGCACTTTCTAAAGAATTTTCATTTTCATCCTGGGGGTGAAATGGGGGTCAAAAAATGACATTTGACAAAATCACTCTGGTTCCCAGATCTCCTCTTACATTTTATTCAGTAGCCTAATCATCTTTTAGGAAATGATTGGTTGTGTTCAGTAGATGTGCAAAAAGATTTCGGAATTTTCCTTTTCACACTGGGGTCAAATGGGGGTCGAAAATGACATTTTTTTTTTTAATTCAAAAAGACTTTGGTTCCCAGAACTCCACTTCCATTTTACACAATAGCCTAATTATCTACTGGAAGATGATTGGTGGAGTCCTGTACATGTGCAGTGAGGTTTCGGAATTTTCATTTTCACATTGATGGTCAAATGGGGGTAAAAAAAAGCTTTATTATACAAAAAACACCCTGGTTGCCGAAAGTCCTCTTACATTTTATTCAGAAGCCTAGTCATCTTTTGGAAAATGATTGGTGGGGTCCTGTGATCTGCAATAAGGTTTTGGAATTTTTATTTTTCACCCTAGGGGTCAAATGGGGCTCGAAAAATGACGTTTTTATACAAAAACATTGGAGCTGCGCAATAATATCGATATTCCGGTATATTGCGATTCGATAACAAAATATATCGCATTGCGATACGTTTTCCAGTACCGATATACCGGCAAAATGATTTGGCTTTATATTTATAAAGTAAAATATGAAATTTAAGATGTCAGAAACGTTTTCAATCGTGCCAAACACTACCAAACGGTAAAGGTTTCTGTTGTATGGTTGCATTTCGTTGCCAATCTGTAGTGGAATCAAATAGAACTTTTTTGTTAAAACGTATTTATAAAAAGTTTTATACACTCTGCTTATAAATGGAAGTTAATAAAATAAGAAAAGAGCATTTTAACTGATATTAAAATATTGCAATATACATCGCAATACAGTTCCAAATATCGCAATATATCGCAATAAGCAATTTTCAACTGATACCCAGCCTTGAAAACACACTGGTTTCCAAAACTCCTCCTACATTTTATTCAGTAGCCTTGTCATCTTTTGGAAGATGATTGGTGGTGTCCATGTGCAATAAGGTTTCGGAATTTTCATTTTCACCCTGGGGGATGAAATGGAGGTAAAAAACGACTTTTTTAAAATACAAAAACACTCTGGTTCCCAGATATCCTCTTACGTTTTATTCAGTAGCCTAATCATTTTTTGGAAAATGATTGGTGGTGTCCTGTAGATGTGCAGTAAGGTTTCGGGATCCCTAGGGGATCGAATTGGGGTTGAAAAATGACGTTTTTATACAAAAACACCCCGGTTCCCAAAACTCTTCTTACATTTTATTCAGTAGCCTAATCATCTTATTCAGTAGCCTAATCATCATTTGGAAGATGATTGGTGGTGTCCTGTGATGTGCAATAAGGTTTCGGAATTTTCATTTTCACCCTGGGGGGTCTAATTGGGGTTGAAAAATGACGTTTTTTAATACAAAAAAAAACACACTGGTTACCAGAACTCCTTTTGCATATTACGCAGTAGCCTAAATATCTTTGGGAAGATGATTGGTGGTGTCCAGAAGATGTGCAATAAGTTTTCGGAATTTTTATTTTCACCCTGGGGGTCAAATAGGGGGTCGAAAATGATTTCTTTATATACAAAAAGACTCTGGTTCCCAGAACTCCACTTCCATTTTACGCAATAACCTAATCATCTACTGGAAGATGATTGATGATGTCCTGTAGATGTGTAAAAGGATTTCGAAATTTTCATTTTCACCCTGAGAGTCAAATTCATGAATTCACGATTTGTTTGAAAGTGTGGTAAAGATGTGTATGTGGGGAGGGTGTGCTTTCATTGCCAACTATAAATTTAAAAAATCGGAAATATTTTGAATGTTTTTTATATGCTTTTAATAGGAATTAAACATTCTTATGTTCTTTTTTCTTAAAAAATATGTTTAAAAAGTTTTATATAAACTAAAATGTATTCCTGAAAATTAAACCGAAACAACGCACTGAATATTGTCTTATCTTAATTCATATATTTAAAAAATCATACTGGATGTTGAAAAATCAACGGAATATAGTTGTCTTTAATAAGAATCATCATAATTATGATACACGCTCGATTTTGTACTTAATACATATACGCATGTCTTGTGTTTCTTATGAAAACTATACATGTACACATAAATAATTTAAAGATAGATGTGTGGTGCATTAAGACTTTGAAAATTTTATTGTGAGTAAGAAAGTGGGGATAGGGGAATATGAAGTCATGCTACAAATTATGTATTCTTTTTACTTTCGTAATGAAATAATTTTCTCAGAAAATCAGCAAGATAGACCAACAATATTTTCAGTTATGGAAAGTTATATTATAATTTTGAATTCAGCGAAATTCAAAGTCGCTCAAGCTTTTAGAACAGATCAAAAAGAAAACACAGGGGAGTAAGAGATAATTTAACTTTTCAGTTCAGTATTTTTGCGCTGGATAAAAATCATTACGTTGAGAACGTCAAGATGACGTCGTAACGTCATAGTTTATTTCTGAGAGAAATGTCCTATATTTACAGAGCTCTGTTGGAGAAATGGTTTGAGATAATTATATAAATTAAAATGAATTATAAAGGGGCCACCCTAGACATGCTAAAAAATTCATCAGATTTGAAGACAGGACCGATTTTGGTGCCTAACGTACTTTCTTCTTAGACAGTGATTCCTAAAATATAATATTTTTTCGGAATGACATGCAAGGTATTAGCAAGGTGCTTCTCGGGGTAACATACATGAAATTAATGGGATGAAGAAAACAAGTTTGAAGAAAATAGAAAGTTTATTCTCAATGCATGATATGAAAAACTCTCGTCTCTTATCACTTTCAACCTACACATTGACCCTTTTTTATGCCCCAGTGACTATAATTTTGCGACTTACATGTAGTTAAGGATATGATTTAGTTTTTATGAATACAACTTCTCTAGTTTCAAACGGAAAAAAATTAAGGTTGTCACGCCAAGTTTTAGTTTGTCTTGGTAGGATTTGGTTCCATAGAACATAGAAGTTGTGTTCTTGTTAGCACAGCTATGACGGTGTTCCATTTGAACTCTTATTGGTGAGTCATGTTCGATAACCTCAAGGATTTTCCTGGTGTAAAATAGGCCTGGATCGACTCCCCCGTTTGAAACTAAACTCCCATCGGTATTCCGGGTTAGCAAGTTATATCCTACTCCAATGTAGTGAAGATCTTCTTGTTGAGCCGTCGTAAAGCTCAACAGAATCGATATGAGCAACAAAGGGTATAATGTACACATTCTTAATGACCTGTATTACATTTCAAAAACTGAAATGAGATTCTGTGTTCGTTCCAAAGCTATAACTTGAATTAAAAAGAATTTTTGATTTAATTGCATTTATCTTAAATATGCATCATTATACATGTACATAGAAATACAAGTAACCACTGTACAATAGAAGCAAACGTTTCTCCTAAAATCAGAATCTAAGAGGTGAGATATCGGTACTTAGAAAATGAGATTCAACATTACCCCCTTCCACTTTGAACGCACTCTTTCAATGTATTCGATGACTTACACAATAGGAAGGCTATGGTTTTATCTTATCTTTATTAATAAACGGTGTTAATATCTATTCCATTGAAGCAAGTCGACCAATTATATACATGTACACACTGATCAAGATTTAAAAAAAATACAGAGGTAATCAAATATTACAAGGTACACCACCGACGAATGCTATCTTTGCGTTAAGCCAAAGTTTCGTACAAATAAATGCCTGTAAAATCCATTAGTTACATATAAGTAAAACATTAGAGGCTTTTCATTAAACAACTGAAATATATATGCATGCCACTTGCGTGACCTTTGAAATATGACTACATCATCCATACAGGTAGGGCTCCGTTAATTTGGTCACTCATGGCCATATGGAAAACATGACAGATGCAGCATCCGAAGCAAGTCTGTTGCAAGTTAATTCAGAATTTGTGTCCTCTGTTTAAAGAAAAAAAAAACAAGAGGGTGGAAGAACATAAAAAACACAGATGGAGAAAGAAAAAAGTAAACCTTGACCTTCCAGCTTTTGGTCTTTAAGTCAGTCAAGGTTAAAAATACTCATGACCTTAAGCGGGGGACAAAAATTAAATGCATCCCTAGACGAATCAAACATGGTTCACTAGGTAGTATCCATGGTTACAATAATGTAGCAAAAGCCTCTTAATTTTCTTTATGCTCTCTGTGTTACTTAAAGATGTATATTTGGCAGTTTCGATTCTTCATTTCTTTCCACAAGATGGCAGTATTAATCAGAACTAAGATACAAATTGTTTGTCATATTGCTGTGTTACCATAACAACTATGATATTTATTTTAAGATAACATTGCTATAACTTATTTATATGTACGTCAGATCAACTTTGTTATTGTTTCTCTGCCATTGGTAATTCAGTTTGGTCATGTAACTCCTACAATTAAAACTATATATGGCGTATCTGAGTTTAAAAAATAATGACACGAGACTGAGTGTAGATATACATGATATATATTATTTACGTTCAAAATAAAATTTTCACAGATTTTGAACTTGAATAACGTCACGTTTCTATAGTTAAATTGTCTTAAAAAAACTAGTCTGTAATTCAAATGTGGAGTCGGTAAATAAATCAGTTATTATTTCAAATTTTCGATATCTTTGAAACGCGATTGGTTTAAACTGTGTAATTTGCAGAAAAGGTCTATCTTTTATAAACTAATAAAACAAATAGAAAGATCTTTTTAATTTTGGTTATCTAAATGTATCAAAAATATACTATATATGGCTTTGAGCGTTTTTTATCATATAAAATGAATGCTAAATATAGCCAAGGCTACCACATATTTAGATATATTCCATAGAATTTCTTTACATCTTAAGCAGCAACTACATGTAGGCATTATGTTTTTGTGTTTCTGTGTAAGTGTTAAATTTGGTTTTCTTAGTCCTTGTTAAGATTCAGCAAAGATTTAAAATAGCTGTAAATCTTAATTTTTGACATTTTTCCATCTGTTAACATGGCAACCAAAAACACCATCGACATTTTGATGAATTTCCGTTTTTGGTTTCAAGCTTTAAAAAAGAACCAAGTTTCAAAATTGGTGACCATGCGTGGCTTAAAAGTGTAAATGGTTACAGAGAATTACTCTCTAAAAAGTTTAAGCGCCAAGAATGCTACAGTGTAATATAACGTGTTCTATTGTCAAAGGCAGCTGGCATATTGTTATCCCTAATACAACTAATTTTTCAAAAACTTTTTTTAAATCAAGGTTAACTACCTGAGTATATACAGACACATAACTTAATCTCTGTCATAAATTATTCTATTCCAATTTTTTCCTTCTCACAAATTTGTACAGTTTTCATTTAAAGAAGACCCTCTCGAGCTCACTGCTGGTCAAAAAGAGACGAAATTTATTTTTTAAAACACCTTTCAATGTATTTTTTATTTTCTATAATCAGGGTTTGTTTGTTACTGCTTTTAAGTGATTACATCTGTACAAGTAATCCAATTGCTTTTTATTATTTTCATTCATGTACAAATAACGTTTCAAATAGTATTTAATCGAAAAGAACAAATTGTGGATCAATAAGACGTTACCGTTTTTACAAAAGAAGTCTGCGTACGTCTATCTCTTCCAAACATTATAAAACCTTAATATCATGTCCTTAAATTCAGATTACAACATATGTAACTATTAAAATACTTTCCATTTAATACAGTTTGTTTTAAATAGTGTTAATAAAGTCATTCGGTTGTTAATCGTCTATGTTTAGTTAAAATAAATCTTACAAGCAATAAAATTCTAGATCTCTGTTATAATACACGTGTATTTAATTTGTAAATATCCTATCTTTCTTTCTCTTTGTTACAGGATAAAATATTCACAAAGTCGGGTAAAAAAAAAAAAGAACCACATTCCCTTGTATCTTTAAACAGAATCAACGTTGTTTTTCATCCAAGTGAATTTAATTTTGAACACTTCATTTCAGCGATCGATGATCTTTTTAGGAAAAAATCCATGTTGTCATAGGACGAACCTTTTCCTGAAATTTCAATGACACAAAGTTTTGATATATTGTACAAGACAAGACTGAAGCACTGATGCGGAAGACAGAAGGACAAACATAGGTGAATGAAAACAAAACTTCAATTTCTGTGGAGAAAATAATACTGGTGACACATAGTAAAACCTTCTTTCTTTTTTTTTATTTGAAATATGACCTAAAAAGTATATACACGTAATGATTTTATGTTTTCTTTTGATTAAAATCCGACGTTGAAAAAAAAAATTAAAAAGACGGAAAAGAAACATAATTTTCTTTCATCTTATACCATTTTATTCTTTCTAGCAATTACCATGATGCAGAAAAAAGGTTTACGGAGATCCATACACGTTATCATATTTCGACTTGACTTTTGCGGTCAGGGCTGACCCTTTGTATTTCAATTTTATTATATGGGGATACTATTGCTGGGAGTGGACTGTCCCTCAGAATTTGTGAAGTTCATATACTCTGGTGTTCTTCTCTTTGCAAATAGAAATCTGAAATAAAAATGATACACTTCTGATGATTTTCATACTCATTAATATTTAAATGATGGTTTTTCTAAAAACATTGTGAAGCTTGTAAAGAGGCACTTTAATGTAAAGTTAAGAACTAATTAGAAAATTATCAATTTATCTATAATAATCTATAAAAAAAATTATGTCGAAAAATTATTATTATTTTTTTTTTATGAAACATTAATACTCACAATGACCTTATATCTTATAGAGTCAATTTGCATAGCCTATCTTAGCTAAACAATAAAACTTTGTACCTTACAAAGTGTATAATAACAACATTCAATAAACCATAAGTGTACATTATATATATATATATATATATATATATATATATATATATATATATATATATATATATATATATAATATATACATATATATATATATATATATATATATATATATATATATATATATATATATATATATATATATATATATATATATATATATATATATATATAGGGCTGTCAATTTTGTCAATAATTCATATTCGAATGTTCAATGAAAGTATTCGAATATATTCGAATATTCGATAAAATAAATAAAATCTTTTTTATTTTAAATATGCATCATCCTGGATACTCTCATGAAAAGTTTAGCGTTGGATATTGGAGGTAAAATTGTATTAAGACTTTTGTAGTTGTACAATAAAAAAAATTGATATTTGTCAATGTTTGAAATAAATTTAAATGTAAAAAAGTATAATTTTAACAAATGAAACGTGTATTTATAGTAGCTCCAACTGAGGAAGGAGTCGTCTTACCAAAGGCAAGATAGTCGTAACGGTATACTGTTCAGATTTCAATACGTGTAATAAATTACAATTATCTGCCTAGTAAGAGATATGATTATAATCTTTGATTGAATGTTTTTAAAATGTAAACAAATATTCCCAACGACAATTTCCCAAGGTAATAAACTATTTTCCCGATAATGAATATAAAATTCAGGATTATGTACAACCCAAGAAATAATCATTTATTCTGAAATTGAGCCCTTTACAATATAAATTACAGTCTAATTCTATTGGACATTCATTTGAATAATCAATTAAATTTGTTTTGATAAGTATACGCTTCACGTCTTTTAGACATTCTAAGAAGGATTTCATTTTGTTGTCCTCAATTCTAGATTCGATCGTATTTAACTAATAAAACTATGAAAGTACGTTTTGTATTATACATAAAACATTATTGTGCAATTCTTTAACACCTTACTCGAAACAAAATACCTGTAATTTAGTAAATCTATAAGATAAGAAAGTAGTGAAAGAAATCAGGCGATCAAAAATTGATCGCTAGTAAATTAAACAGGGATAATTCCAGCACTGTTCTAACCAAAATTTATTAATCACAGTACTTCTTTTTATGAAATCTGAAAAAACACCGAATATTCGAATCTTAAATTCATATTCGAATATCAACTCATCGAATGAATATTCGAATGTTCGAATATTCATTACCATCCCTGATATATATATATATATATATATATATATATATATATATATATATATATATATATATATATATATATATATATATAAAGCACTAAAAATGACCAACGACACGAACAATGATAATTGTCAAATTTTCGGGACAACCTGTCCCTTCCTCAGGACAAAGAAAAAAGTTAAGAAGTCATAAACACAAAGGAAATAGAGAAGCAAAAACAACTAGCACTACTACTAAACTACCAAACACTAAATATTTACAATATTACATGTTTAATTTGGAGTTTATAATATTTAGTGTTTGGTAATATTTAGTGCTTCTCTATTTCCTTTGTGTTTATGACTTCTTAACTTTTTTCTTTGTCCTGAGGAAGGGACAGGTTGTCCCGAAAATTTGACAATTATTATTGTTCGTGTCGTTGGTCATTTTTAGTGCTTTATATAAATTTCCATCCGTGACCTTGTATCTACTTATTAGATCCGACACTTAGGATATACAGTGTTATTGGTTTTTAGTGCTTTATATATATATATATATATATATATATATATATATATATATATATATATATATATATATATATATATATATATAATAAGCACAAAGAAATTCACTTTTACAAGGATACCCACTTCCGCCCCAGCCCGGGGTTGAACTCTCGACCTACGGAATCTGTCTCCTAGCAGTACAGGAACAGCGCGCTAGACCGCTAGGCTATCTAGGCAAGTCAAAAAACTTGCTTTCGATGCCGATGGAATTCTCGCGGCGCTGCCCTACACTACACGGTTATTGAGAATGAAAGTGAGATACAGTTATTTGACCATTAGTTTTATTAGAGGATCGTTACCAATACACGTTGTAATGAAATTAATTTTTATTTATAAAGCACATGTTACAACAACTCTTAAACTAACATAACTGCCCTAAGTGAAGAAATATTTATATAGAAAGCACAGAGAAATACAAGGAGTAATATATATATATAATCTGCTATGCAAATAATCTCCAACCTGTAAACAATAGCTGCTACTAATGCCCCCGCGGTGGGCCCCACCCAGTAGACATAGTGATGTTCCCACACGTTGAAATACAGGTATCTAGAGTAGGATACAGCCGGTCCTAAACTTCTTGCCGGATTCATAGATCCACCAGTATATGGTGCCCTGTTGTAAATTAACTAGAGCATGTCATCTTGAGTTTAATTTGATTTATGTGCATATATTCTAGAGAAAATCATGCTCTTAAAATACCATCTGAATATTGATAAAATACTGTTCCTGTGGGAAGCTTTACTATGTCATCAAGATTGTACTAGAAAGAAGTCTTTCATGAAGCGTTCTTTGGATTAGATCAAGCCACATATTAAATGTAAGAGAACAGTTTTGAGTCTCATATTCAAATTTTAGTTATGAATGTTTGCAATAAATAAGGGCTGCTGAGAAATAGACTCTTCAATTAGTGCTGTGCTGATTACAAGCTCCCAGTTTGGTTTTCCTGAAATTGATGAGTTCAATGTTTCGCTCCATTATTTTAAAATGTGTAAATTTAGAAACATGAAAATATTTCATATTTAAATTATTTATTACCAGTATACCATTGGTCTTGAAATCTTACCCAGACAAAGTACATGCGATGACCGAGAATCCAATAGCTAGAGCTGACAGTTTTTTCTTCTTTTTATCCAGCGTTGTCAGTAAAACTGTCGAAGCTAATATAAACGTAAGAATGCTTTCCACCAGAACCGCCCAGCCAGGTTTAGTATCATTTATAAGCATCGTTGCTCCACCGATGAATTGTATATATTTATTCTCTGGAACAGCAGCCTTACAAAAAAAGACAACTTAGATATGCAGGTAGCATATGTTCTTTTAAGCTCAAAATTAAGACGTCAACTACAGGCACGTGAAATTATTTTCTAAAAGTTTGAGGGGAGGGGGCGATTGTGGGGGTGACAAATAAAAAAAAACACCGTATTAATGAAAGGTTCAAGGATATTTCACGAAAGGCCCCCCTCGTTATACGTGCCTGATGGATCATAGGCGTCGGAATCGGGGGGAGGGGTAGGGGGCTTAGCCCCCACTTTTTTTGCAAAGATAGACATAATATAGGCATTTAAAATTGGGGCTTAGTCCCCAAACTTTTTTTTGATTCAGCCCCCCTCCCCCACTTTCAATTTGCTTCTGACGCCTGTATGGATAATAATACAAAAATACATACAAGGGCCAAGGCTGCTCCTAAGAGACCTCCCACAATCTGAGCAATGAAAAAGCATACTGCAACAAGCACTGGCAGCGCCCCATTCAAAGTCAGAGCAAAAGTTATGGCTGGGTTAAAATACCCGCCGCTACAAAAGACAGTTTTCAGTTCTTTTAAAGTTAATTAAATATGGCACATTAACATCTAATTAAAGTAGATAGAGTATGGAAATTCAAATGTCCTTTTGCTATTATAATCAATTTAATGGATACATAAGATGCTATGCACTACTTGTTCATTTCCTTAGAGCGATTTTGTCATAATTTTTAAATAACTTTTTAAATTTTTTTATCCGCCAAAATTGCTTTGGAAATACAATATCTGCCATAGCTTTAATTGATCGAATCATACCTGATATCACCGAGTGCATAAATCAAGAACACATAAGCAAATCCATACACTTGTCCGGATGATATATAGGTGTACAATTTGCCATATTCATGGGAGATTGGAGCACAAAAACACAAGAGGAATACCAGAAATGTGGTCCCTAAAAATTCGGCTAATGTTGGACGAACAAATTTGTCAACCACTGAACCACCACACAGCACACGATCGGATTCGGTTCGGTGTATAGTTTGAGCTTCGTCTGCCATCTTTCTCACTGCAAATTGCGCAGTTTTATTAGAAAGTTGTTCAGGTGAATCAGTATGCTTCGATCTGCATTAATAAAACATTAAAAACTACAAACCTTTTTCGAAAGGACAAGCTTTATATATCACGTCGCACAAATGTATAAATATATGGAGGGATTTCAGTGCCAGAATTTTCTTTTAATATGTTTTTATTTTTGTACCTGCACTTTCTAAAGAAAGTTCGGGTACGGTATATTGTTGTTACCCTGGTCCGTCCGTGCGTCTTTCACACTTTCTTCTTCCTCAAATTCCTCTTTTATTTTAAGCAGTAACCAATTAATCTTTTGTAATATGATAGGGGGTGTCCTGTATATGTGCAATAATGTTTTGGAATTTTAAATTTTACCCTAGGGGGAAAACGGGGGCCAAAAATGTCACGCTTTTTCTACAAAAACGTGGTTCCCAGAACTCTTCTTAAATTTTACGCAGTAGCTTAATTGTCTTTTAGAAGATGATTGGTGGTGTCTCGTAGATGTGCAATAAGATTTCGGAATTTTCATTTTCATCCTAGGGGATCAAATTGGGTTCGAAAAATTAAGTTTTTTTTAAACAAAAAGCCATGGTTCCTAGAACTCCACTTACATTTTACACAGTAGTCTAATCATCTTTTGAATATGCCTAGCAATGTATCTAACATTGATGCAAAATGCAATCTTATGACAGTTATCATTAAAAAAAATCATTTATATACATAAGTCTAGGAAGTCGGTAGAGCTCCTACGTTTTCGATTGATAGCGGTGAACGGTTTCTGGTCACCTGATGACTAGAGCTCAGTTCACAAAACAGTTACTTTTCACACACTGTAACTTTATTCTTCACAACAGAAAGAAAAGTTTTGTATCATTTTTAATTCATCAATGAGCATGTACCTTTTCTAGTCACTTCCTTGCAATTGCTATATCTTAATTCGTATAAAAATGCATTCTTAATCATTGTAAAGAATAAGTTTTCTTACTATTTTGATCCTACATAATTAACACAGTCACAACTCTGATTTCTGCAGACAAGATAATTATTAGTTTCCCGAACAGAAAATATATTAAGATTCCAAAATATCTGAGGTTAAAATTTAATTTTAAAAAAACCCACTATCTCAATATGTGTAACTTAAAATAAGAGCGATTTATTTGATCAGGCATAAGGTTCACAGGTTGCATATGCAGTACAATGCATTTACATGTATGTGCAGATACATGAATGAAGCAGGTTGGTTCACGACTTCATGTGTCTTTATTGCCCGAAGCAAGCAGAAATATTAGACCACCACCACCCTCCAGAAATCTCCGATTTATACTTATCTCTCAAATGCTTAGCAGTTATCTTGTGAAATTTGCATAAGGTAACTCTGGATGTACTCAAATGATCTCCCTTTGAACGACGTAAGTACAACGTTCATTAGCATAAAGCTAATGTAAATGAGAGGAGTCGGTTACGAAATGGCGAGAGTTCATCTTGAAAAACACATCAAGTACTGTTCAAAGACAACAAAATTTACCTGATATTAAGCCCTTAATAAGAAACAGAGATAAGGTTCACATACTCTATTCTTCGTTAAATGTTACAGAGGATTACTGTTAAAGGAATTAAAGTTTTACAAATACACGTAGTATATTGCCAGTAAAGGTAATAAAAAAATACATTCCATAATATATTTTACGTAACACTTAGTCGGAAATGTTATTTTCAGAAATAAATGACATCAAAAACGCCTGAATAATAATAAGGAAGTTTATGACTATTGTGAATTTTTGAGGCAAATTGAATTCTCTCTCTTTCTCTCTCTCTCTCTCTCTCTCTCTCTCTCTCTCTGATTTCAGGGTTAGAAGTTTTACCTTGCAACAAAGGAATCAAGGTATACATGCAGACAATTGAAAATCTTTTTTTTCAAGAATGATAATTAGAAATCTAAACTAATCTCCGTTTGTATATGTCGAACAATTATAATGCAGCAGTTGACTCTTGGTTTATAAAAAAATTTATTTGGCTTTGGTTTGTGTATTATGTAGTTAAAAAATATCTGGATTTCAAAAATATTTAAGATTCAAAGTTATTTACGCATGAATGATGTTAACAAGTGAAATTGCAAGCTTTTTGTCAAGAATACGAATTTCACGCAATCTGATACATCGAAGATAAATTTCATGAATTTTATTATTAAGAAAAAGTAATTGGGGGTTGTTTATTGATTTTGTTACGACAATGCCTAGCAATGTATCTAACATTGATGCAAAAATGCAATCTTATGACAGTTATCATTAAAAAAAAATCATTTATTTAAATAAGTCCTGGAAGTCGGTAGAGCTCGATTGATAGCGGTGAACGGTTTCTGGTCACGTGATGACTAGAGCTCAGTTCAGAAAACAGTTACTTTTCACACACTGCAACAATGACTTTGTATTTTATTCTTCACAACAGAAAGAAAAGTTTTGTATCATTTTTAATTCATCAATGAGCGTGTGGCTTTTCTAGTCACGTCCTTGCAATTGCTATATCTTAATTCGTATAAAAATGCATTCTTCATCATTGTAAAGAATAAGTTTTCTTACTATTTTGATCCTACATAATTTACACAATCACAACTCTGATTTCTGCAGACAAGACATTAGTTTCAAGAACAGAAAAAATATTAAGATTCACAAATATCTGAGGTTAAAATTTAATTTAAAAAAAAACACTATGTCAATATGTGTAACTTAAAATAAGAGCGATTTATTTGATCAGGCATAAGGTTCACAGGTTGCATATGCAGTACAATGCATTTACATGCATGTGCAGATACATGAATGAAGCAGGTTGGTTCACGTGTCTTTATTGCCCGAAGCAAGCAGAAATATTAGCCCATCAACCACCCTCCAGAAATCTCCGATTTATACTTATCTCTCAAATGCTTAGCAGTTATCTTGTGAAATTTGCATAAGGTAACTCTAGATGTACTCAAATGATCTCCCTTTGAACGACGTAAGTACAACGTTCATTGGCATAAAGCTAATGTAAATGAGAGGAGTCGGTTACGAAATGGCGAGAGTTCATCTTGAAAAACACATCAAGTACTGTTCAAAGACAACAAAATTTACCTGATATTAAGCCCTTAATAAGAAACAGAGATAAGGTTCACATACTCTATTCTTCGTTAAATGTTACAGAGGATTACTGTTAATGCATTTCAAATTTTACAAATACACGTAGTATATTGCCAGTAAAGGTAAACAAAATACATTCCATAATACATTTTACGTAACACTTAGTCGGAAATGTTATTTTCAGAAATAAATGACATCAAAAACGCCTGAATAATAATAAGGAAGTTTATGTCTATTGTGAATTTTTGAGGCAAATTGAATTCTCTCTCTCTCTCTCTGATTTCAGGGTTAGAAGTTTTACCTTGCAACAAAGGAATCAAGGTATACATGCAGACAAATGAAAATCATTTTTTTCCTAGAATGATAATTAGAAATCTAAACTGATCTCCGTTTGTATATGTCGAACAATTATAATGCAGCAGTTGACTCTTGGTATATAAAAAAATTTATTTGGCTTTGGTTTGTGTATTATGCAGTTAAAAAATATCTGGATTTCAAAGTTATTTACGCATGAATGATGTTAACAAGTGAAATTGCAAGCTTTTTGTCAAGAATACGAATTTCACGCAATCTGATACATCGAAGATAAATTTTATAAATTTTATTAGTCCCCTACCGGTGAAACCGGTGGGGACTATAGGTTTCCTCTGAGTCTGTCCGTCCGTCTGTCCGTCCGTCTGTCTGTCTGTCTGTCTGTCCCTCTGTCTGTCTGTCAGTCTGTCCCACTTGGTTTTCCGCACTTTTTTCCTAAACGCTTGCAGATATACTGATTTTTGGTATGTGAGTGTATCTTGATGAGTTACAGATCAAGTTTGCATTTCGTTCCGCTTTTGATTTTTGACGGAATTACGGCCTTTTCAATTTTTCAGGGTTTTCCGCAATTTTTTTCTAAACGCTTGTAGATATTGAGCTGAGTTTTGGTATGTGGCTTTACCTTGATTAGTTATAGATCAAGTTTGCATTTCGTCCCGCTTCATTGATTTTTGACGGAATTATGGCATTTTCAATTCTTAACGGGAACGGAACCAGATTACACTTGCCGGTAGGGGACTAGTATTGCTAATGCAATACTCTCAGAATGCTTGTTATTAAGAAAAAGTAATTGGGGGTTGTTTATTGATTTTGTAACGACAATGCCTAGCAATGTATCTAACATTGATGCAAAAATGCAATCTTATGACAGTTATCATTTAAAAAAAAATCATTTATGTAAATAAGCCATGGAAGTCGGTAGAGCTCGATTGATAGCGGTGAACGGTTTCTGGTCACGTGATGACTAGAGCTCAGTTCGGAAAACAGTTACTTTTCACACACTGTAACTATATTCTTCACAACAGAAAGAAAAGTTTTGTATCATTTTTAATTCATCAATGAGCGTGTGCCTTTTCTAGTCACGACCTTGCAATTGCTATATCTTAATTCATATAAAAATGCATTCTTAATCATTGTAAAGAATAAGTTTTCTTACTATTTTGATCCTACATAATTAACACAGTCAAAACTCTAATTTCTGCAGACAAGATAATTTTTAGTTTCAAGAACAGAAAATATATTAAGATTCCCAAATATCTGAGGTTAAAATTTAATTTTAAAAAAAACCCACTATATCAATATGTGTAACTTAAAATAAGAGCGATTTATTTGATCAGACATAAGGTTCACAGGTTGCATATGCAGTACAATGCATTTACATGCATGTGCAGATACATGAATGAAGCAGGTTGGTTCACGTGTCTTTATTGCCTGAAGCAAGCAGAAATAGAAGCCCACCACCACCCTCCAGAAATCTCCGATTTATACTTGTCTCTCAAATGCTTAGCAGTTATCTTGTGAAATTTGCATAAAGTAACTCTGGATGTACTCAAATGATCTCCCTTTGAACGACGTAAGTACAACGTTCATTGGCATAAAGCTAATGGAAATGAGAGGAGTCGGTTACGA